CAACGGCAACGGCAGCAACGCTGGCTATAATAACAACTCGAGAGAGCGAGAGAGAGAGAGAGAGAGAGAGAATCTTAAAGGGAGGAGGGTATATTTCGCTATTTTATTACCCGAGCGCATATACGTATAAACTTCTCTTCTCTTTCTTACTCTCTTCGCATATACGTAGAAGTAAACTTCTATACATACGTGCCGCAAAACAGGCAGCGCGCGGCAACAACAATATTATGAAGTCGCGAGTAGGTACTGTAGTCCTCGACAGAGAGAACGACATACGCTACAATAATGCCCTCCGCGTGTGTTTCTCGAGCTCGGTATCGTGTGAATAAATACTCTGCACTGTGTGGCACTAATGTGCTTTGTGACAAGGAATCGAATGGGTATGCGACTGCTTGTCTTACACACGACTCGCGCGCGTGTTTGCGTTATTATGAACGGCGGCGGTGGACAAGTGTTATTTTACGAAAATGAACGTGTATTATTCGCGTTTAACTCGCGCGAGAGAGCATGGAGAGTCAAGAACACACACACGTGCCATATTCTTTCTGAAGTACTGAATAATAATAACACGACCTCTGACATTTTCCCAAAAATAACAAATAAATAAATTGAGCGTGTACGAGGCACAATTGTCGATGCTAATTTTCACATTAAACAACCATATCTCCGACGCAGGTCGTATAAGAGATTTCGTTTTTACTTTCACTGCGGAATTCGCCGCGATTTAGCGCAGTATCACGAGCGCCGGGCCGCGCTCTAATGTATTCAAGTCTACTACAAAAAAAAATCTATATCGAGATCGTCGGATCGGTATAAGTCGAGCTGCGCGCGTTTTACCGAGAATCTCCCGAGCCGCTGGTAACAATAATAGGATCGTTTCGTCGTCGTCGTGTCCCGTGTGTGTGTGTGTGTGTGTGTGTGCGCGCGCGCGCGAAAATGCTCGAAACATAACCGCGCAGCAGCAGCGATCCGTATGTGGGCATTTAATAATACGAGCAACAAAAAAGGGACAGGCGAAGGGTTGCTCTGCCTCCTTCGCCGCTTCAGAGCGTAAGTACAGCATTGTCGAAGCTATTTGTCATCTAGAGATATTTCGTTTGTGGCTTTTTCCCCTCCGCTCGAACTCGATTCGCGAGGCGGATAGTGTCTTCTTGTAGTGAGTGCACACAGCAGCTCGTGAGTTTGAGATTGTAGGAGCGCGCGAATAAATCTCGGTATATGCACGTATTATACTGCGTACTACTGCCACGTACGGACACATATATCCTAGTTTTCTTTTATTGGCCTTTTTCGTTTCTTAACGTTCGTATATTAAAGCAGCTTGAGTAGTTGTGGTACAGCCATTGTACGAACTCGAAGCTCGTGCACTGCGACTACTATATCACAACCCGATACATGCTATTCTTCTTCTATTAATCGCTGCTTATAAAGCTTCAAACAAAGAAAAAAATAAATGGTCCGGTTTTTTCTCTCTTCTCCGCGAGTGATTGAATTATAAAAAACGCCAAAAGAAAGAGAGGATACCTTTTAAATACCTACGTATCTCATTGTTCGAAGTCTCTACCTGCTGCTGCTGCGTATAACATGCATGCATATGCGTACTTAGAGCGTAAGAATGAACAATTATTATCCGACGATCTAAACATCGGTCGAATACACATATAATATGCGTCTCTAGCTCGAGCCGAGCTTGTAATATGACTTTTGTTGAGAGATGCATATGCGGCAAGAGCCGCGCAGATGCAGAATAGGCGAATGTGTAAATACTCACTTTCTACTCATATTGTTGTATTCTTTGAACATTTTACATGCTTATAAGTTCATTACATCCAGCACACTTACTTCAGACCAAAATGAATTTTTCATTTGACTTATAAAACTCATCTTACCTTGCCACTTGCAGATTTACTGATAAAAGTATTCGCCATCTAGTGGGGAAGGCTCGAAGTTGTACTATCGTATTTAAAATGGCAAAAACATCCGGAAAAATCACCAAAAACGAGCCAATTTTTATTGATGTATTTAAAAAATTTTCAAATGATCGTTTATTGGTTATTAAGTCATAATTAAGATTGAACAAATTTACGAAGAATGTACACGTGCGCTAGTTTATCTGGTAACAGTTCAAACAACCAATAAATTTTTGTGCCACTGGTAGCGCTCCTCTTGACATCGCTATTAGATACTTGAAGATAACGATAGAAGAAAACACTATTCGCACAAAAATCACATTCATATTTAGATTAAAATTTAAATTTTTTCATGAAAAAACCTGCAGGTTCATACGTATAGTCCATTGGCAAACATTTTTAACAAAAAGTAAATTCTATGAGTTATATTAGTCTAATCCTCTAATCCACAAATGATGAATCTACGGTAAGAACCAATTCAACTGAACATTTGCATTACATCATGTAGTTACTTTCTATTCACAAGCACTAGGTAAGTTCAATAAATGTGCATATAACTATTATACTTAATTTTAATACCCGCAGTAAATAAGCTACTGATGATTTAACTGCCTTAGTATTTTTTCCCCTTTTCCACGGATAATATTGTTTCAATTAAATACAATTTATTCCAATGCTACGATCGTCAAAAAAAAGACGATCGCAGAGTAAAACTTGAAAATTGAAAAGTAGACAAGTCGAACGGGTAGGTACGTAACTTCAGCCTAGTAGTCATGTATATATTTGCTACGATAAATCCATCAATTATCGCTGTCAATTTTTAATGACGATTGGTTTTATATTTTATTCTCGATCGGTTGCAAACTGGAAAAGTCGCTTGATACACAAATGCGACGAGCTCACTGTCAATTATAATATTGTAGTGAGCGTACTTGGGTGAGGCAATTCTCGAGTTCTTGCACTCACCTTTTGACACTCAGAGATGAACGCAGCGAAAAACTATATTCAAGAGTATTTATCGCAACCTTGACGTAATCCGCGCGTTACCTTCGAAGCTTTCTGATTTCCTCACACAGGAGACAATTTTAAAATATAATTCAAATTTTCCCAGTACTCTCGAAAAAATACGTCGAGCAGCACACGTACATCTACGATTGAGCTGTCCACGCGAGTGTAAAGAGATTTTTCTTCTTCTCCTTATACGGTTGTGTAACAAGCGCAACAAGCCGCGCGCGCGGCACTCGTTCTTCGCTAATTTCTCGCGACGGTGCGATTTGCGACTCGTTGACCAAACTCTCTTCTCTCCCATGTGCAATATATGCACTTAAACTCGAACAGACACACACATACACACACAGAAAGAGACAAGAGAGGTGACTCTGATTAATGACATAACGGACGACAATCGCTTTGTGTGTTTGCGTATATACCATATAATGTCGTTTCTGCCCGCATTTTTATCGCGTCTCGAGGCATTTAGTTTACAGGTCGCGGATATGTGTCTTTTCCGTTTCAATGTTAAAACGCATTACCGTTACCGAGGGATGTTCTGTTAAACGTAGAAGCAGCGACAACAGCTCTTGTAATATGGAGTGATTTAGAATGCATATACGGCCACAGTCATTAGAATCTACTTTTTCATTGCAGTGCTGTGTATTATTATTCGTATTTCGTGGCGTAATAACGGATCGAAAGGATCAATTTGAATATCGTCAAGGCTCATCAATTGTGAAATTTTGATGCAAATTTTTCGAAAATTGCTCTGACACAGTCTCTCTTTCTCTCCCTTTTGATTACTCCGAAATTGGAGCATCTGATATTGTACCAACTTCAACGGTACGGTACGTCGTGTACAGCTTGACAGCAGGGTCATCAGCTGGTATCGATTACGAAATTGCATATGCTGTACGAGAACAAAAAGTGCCCACTCTTCGAAAGCCCAAAAATTTTCCTCTTCGACGCGCGACACACGACAATGGCAAAACAAACTGTGTCGATCGCTCATTCGAAAACGTCGTTTCTTGTAACAATGCGCTCGAACCACCTCAACAGATCAAACTAACATTTCTGCTCGCGTCTCATCAGCGTGTACCAGTGTTTTTTTTTTCTGTACCTTTGAAGTCTTGTCTCCCTCGGAAAGCCTAGTTCGCGAAATGCTGCAATAAGAATAATCGACGATGCACACGGCTTCTCTCTGTCTCTCTCTCTCTCTCTCTCTCTCTCTCTCTGAAAAGAATATTAGGCAGGAAATCATTTTCGCATCACGACTGCATGTGTCAGTATTACTCGAATATAGTATAGTGAGTATAGTATATGGCGTTGGCGTCAACGCGACGCGCGCTACGGTGCAAGGCCAGCAGCAGCAGCGGTGCTAAAGTCTCTCCTCTACGTGTGCAGTCTTATATTATATATCCACACACTAAGGAGAAAGAGAAAGAAAACGTTTTGCAGCTCGTGACAACAGGAGTCTTAGTAGTAGTTGTAGTAGTATAGGCTTTTGAGCCGTATAGGATAGAGACAATGTGATATTTCCCCGTTTAGCCGTGGGATTCGGGTCACACGGGTGTGAGCGTGAAAGAAAAATGTAAGCATAGAAACGTATTGTGGGCTTATACGGTCTCTTTCAGTCATAATCTGCATACGATAAAATATCCATTTGCGAATATGTATATAATGCAAATGGTAGTAGTAGTAGTAGTCTCCTTCGTCAACAGGTCTGTCATGTAATCTCGCGCGCGCGGGCAATTCTATGTCGTTTAGCTATGGTCGCTTTGATGCAATACATATAAAATGTTTATACATAACAACGACGACAAAACAGAAAAAAAAGAAGAACTGGAATTGAGTCGTCTTGCTTAATGGCTCTGCTGTTGCTGCTGCTATATAGCATTCATTTGTAGAATTAGCTTTATGAAGGGTGCGGGTTGTCGATCTCTTACGCTTAGATCTGATAAGATGAGCAGTTTTATATGTATATTGCCAAGTTGATAGAGTGGCAATTAGTCAAGACATCGAGCAACACGACGTTCCAGCTGCTGCCGCTGCTGCTGCCATCGAATTATAAATGGCTACTGTCATTTGTTCCTTGTTTTATTGCTTTAGCTATTGAATATAGATACATCACGAAATGTCACTGACGCTTTTTTCTCTATTGAGTGCCAGACGTTCTCCGGCTGAAATCGATTAATTTTCAATTGAAAATGTCGGAATCGTCCAAGGGATCCTCGATTTTCTGGAAAATGAAAATGAAGGATGAATTGGCAGTTCGTAAATGGTGGAATAAATCGAGATTATTTCCTCACTTGAATCATTCGTAATACTGCGTCTACGTCTTTCTCTTTGTCGTATTCTTGTAAAAAAATTCAAAGATCAATACGATTTAAACTAAATTGCTTAAATTTAGATTTTTTGCCTAAAAATGTTTACCGCAATAAGGCTCCTCTCTACCGGCGAAAACTATCAACATTCCCAAGTATCCAGTTTTCGACGCCTCTATTCCCATTAGAGGACAATTGGCACACCGATGATTATTCCGAGCGTCATTAGCTGCTTTCAGAGCACTCTCGTACGAACCATCCCAGGGGTAGCTCAAAAACTTACAGTCCTTTTTGGTTATCAAATTAGCCATCGACTCGATAAAGTACTTGTGAGCCATTCCATGACTGCACATCATCTTGGTCAATCCTGCAAGTGGATCTACGCGATTGAATCGAGAATGACATCCTCGTCTCTGGGCGACTCACATAGTTTCGGGACTTTGCAGGCCAGCTGATTGACACCGCTGTTGACGTAGAAGTCCACGTGACCCGCTCGCTCGCGCAGTCCCAGCGGCTCGACGCCGGCTACCCTCTTGCCGGTCTGCGTGTGAATCACGTCGACGAACTCGGCGTCCTCCTTGTCGAGCCGCAGGCTCAGATGGACGCCCTTGAAGCAGGGCTGGGCCGGATCCAGACCCGTGATCCTCTTCACCGTGAAGTAATTGTGACTCTTGAGCAGGTGGGCGGTTATGCCGCTCATCTGGGCGCCCAAGCTGTGACCGATGAAGTGCAGCTGATTCCAGCGATGCTTGCCCGGCTGACCTTTCAGCTTGGCTTTCAACAGATAGAGGAAACTTTCGCGCGGTGGCCAAGGTTAATTTTTCGCCGGGCACAGAATATGCTGCAGAAGTCGAGAGAAAACTTACTGAAGAATGCGCCTGGCTACGATTTCGAGATTTCGCGCGGCGTTAACGTAGTTTTTGAGGTGGCTGCTGTCGCTCCAATCGACTATTATGACATTTCGCTTTTTCTATAATGCAATAAAATGCACTCGCGTAAAGCCTTTGAGCCCGCTGATCAACGAGCGTCGAAAAATTACTCACGACAGCCAACAGATGCTCCTTCATGTTTATGACCCAAGAAACCGAGCCCGCCGATTTGTAGCCATGAATGATGATGACCGTTTTTCTCGTCGGATCGAACGAGCTGCTATTGAAAGCGCCCAATTCCGGCCAGTCGTTCGAGAGAATCTTCACCGCGTGTCTGTGATTGTTCGACGCGATCCAAAAGTCGACCATACGATTGATGGGCTCGTTGGTGCTGGTCTGCAGCAAAATTTTTCCAACCATCGAGCTGACCGTTATATCCGAGCAATGAATGCGAGGATGCCCCGGGTCGTCAGTTTCTTCCGGCGGGTGTATCACGTGACAGTGAGTCGAAAAAATTATGGCGAAAATACACAAAGCGAACAGCAGCAACATTTTCGCACTAATTTTCTTCATTTTTCTAATACGAGAATGAGGAAGTAACTTGAACGACAGCTCGCTGTTATCTATCGTCGACTTAAAATCGAATCACGATGCAACGACTTGCTAAATGACGCACGTTAGCGCGTGCACGCCGTTAAAACTGTGCAACGCGATAAAAAATTTTCCAACCCAAACGACTAATAAAAAATCGCGATAAATCCATATTCTTTTATTCAGCCACACATCTATGTATACTGAAAGCATATCACACACATGCACACTTACGCGGCGATCACCTTATCGGATCAGTGTCCGCGTCTTATGGGCGCGCGAGCACATGGTATACTGCACGGCAATGCGATTAATATAGGCCTGAGGGACAGTGAGTGAACCCATATACGCGATCGCTTCGAGTTAATAAGGGTCTCTCTCGTTCTCTTCCTCGTGTATATACATATTCTCTCGTGTGTGCAGCGGTCACGTTCGTGCGCAGAGCAGTCCTACAATAGTAACGGAAAAACGAACTGGAGGATCTCTCTCTCTCTCTTTCTATGCGGTATTTCTGCTGCCGCCGCCGCGGCCGTAGCTGATGTTGCTGCCACGATGACCCAGTGAAACACAAGTCGATGTGCGCAGCCGTTAAAGCGATCCTTATTTTTTTTCATCCGCCGCTCATTCTCTTTCTTTTAGAAAATTTATTGCCCGCTGCAGTTAACAACGAAGGAGTGAAAGTTATACGCGGATTATTATAGGCTTTGAGAGCTGCACACACTCGCGCGCACACACACGTATATTATAAAAGAGCTACATTTTATTTGAGGTTTACCTATGTACTAATGGGCCAGAAACTTCAAATTATTTCTCATACAATACTTGCCATTATGGTCTGTGTCTAAGCCCAAGACAGAAGTTTAATATTAGGTGATAAAGCCAATGCAACAATCAGACTTTTAATACGCCAGACAAGGTGCACTTATCATTTCTACAAAATTACGCTTAATAAAATGAAAGACAATTATGATACATACTCAACGCTTTAACGATATGCTTTAAAGTAGCTTTTACGCTCGTACGACTTCCAGCATAAGCATTAATCGCGACTTGGAAAAATATTGATCGTTATGGGACTTTGGAATAAGTTGAAAACCAACACGTTATTACATGGGAAAATAAGATTTCAATTCTATGCGCTATTGAAAAAAAAACTCTAATTTAATGTAGATTTAATGTAAAATCAGACATTTTAAATAAGTAATACTGAATTTATTTAAAGTAGTTTTACATAAAACATTTGTTCAAAATGAATGTATCGGTATTGATTACTGGTTTAATTTAAAAAGAAACCATCAAATACACACATTTTTGAAAAGAATTAAAATTTTTTTTGTATATTTTGATTGAAAATTAAAGCATTAACACTGATTAATTTTTTGAATTAAATGACCAAAAAATTTATGAAAATTAAATTATAATTGAAGCTAGCTTTCACCACTAGATGGCGAGTGCTTTTATTTGTAAATCTGCAAGGAGTAAAGTCAAATTATTCGTATATAAGTTTTGTGGTTGGCGATACCAAAATCATTGTCTATGTAGAATGATATACTAAGTAAACATAGTATTAAAAAATCAAATGTACTCGATTGAATTTCATCAAAATAATTTTCAAATCATGTAAACTTATATCAGTTATTTTTCGGAAATTTACACGTGCACCGAAAATATCGGTCCGATTGATCTGCGCGCGAGGACAAATGGGAACCTCGGGTCGCGCACAAAAACGATGCCGCGCGCGCGATAAGGATCTCGAGGGCATTTTACGGCAGCTCTATACAAATATCGCACACGCTCAACTTTTACGGCCTTTTGTCCACACACAACACACCAACGACAAGGTCGGCCTTTTCAAAGGCTCCAAATCGAAGAGCTGACGAGTGTATTTACGCCAAAGGCCTCTTTTGTTTAGATATATTTTACGAGGCAGGCGCCGATAAGGTTATAAACGAGTAGTTTGAAAAAAAAAATATCGAAAATTTCTCTCCGCGAATAGATCGATTCCGCTAATACCGCAGCGCGCGTGTCGTGGATGTCGAAAAAATTAGAAAACTTTTTTAATAAGACGCGCGCGGGGTATTGTAATAAAAAAAGCATCGTGAGTTATGGCAAATTGATGATTATCCGCCAATCACGTAGTTTTCCTATGCGTAATTTATGCCGGCTGATAATAAAACTACGTGTTCCCAGCGGCACGCGCGCATCGAAGCTTCATCATTTCACAAAACCGCTAGCTCATTCCGTAATGTACGTTTGAAGCCGTAAATTGCACACGGGGATTTACAACGGATTCGATCGGGGCATATCGATTTTCACGCCACGAGCATTAAAGCACACACCACATACGTGTCAGCCGAAAAGTTCTTGCAGCGGCGCTTTTCCTTTTATATCGCGCGCGCGCGGGGTGCGGAGCTGTGCTGCGCTATGAACCGCAGCGGATCATCGTTCAAGTGTACGTACATACACGTGTGTGTGCCGATGGAACTCGCGATGATGCAGCTTTCGACGCGCAGCGTGCCCACGTACGTGTATTTATAATATTCCGCTGCCAAATACTCGACAAATGAAAGTCGCGCGAACGTTTAGTTGTAGTATATTTGCTATACGGCGAGAGAGAAAGAGAGAGAGATAGAGACGGATTCGAGATATTAACTGTACAAGCTCCGAATATATATGTGTACGAGTTATAATATGTATATAATGATGATATCAGCTGCGAAAAAGCTAATAATTTCAACGAGAGGAATATTATATATCTGCAGATGTATATCCTCGCGGGTACATTTAAACTGCGCTGCGGCGCTGCGGGAGGGAAACGCAGCTGTGCATAGGCGCGCACTTTCCGCTCGAGCTTTTAGCGAGGAAACAAGCGATTCGACATAACACACGTATAAGTCGATACTATCGGCGTGTAGCGCCGAATGAATACGTACGTACACACGCACACACAGTCGCAGCATAGAAATCGAAATCAAGGATGGAACTCGCGATACACGTGTTAGTGTTCGTACGTACAGCATGTTTTACAGGATTATAAGCGCGCGCGGGGCTTATGATTTCCGCGCGAGTTGTACGTTGTTATATCTAGGGTCCTTTGTTGGCTATATTACTGTCGTGTAACAGTGCGCAATTCGATGGGCGTGAAAAGGTGAAAACCCTTTTCCTGTCGCGTGTGACTACTTTTTTTTTTATGAAGCGCAGAGAAAACACGAAATTCCGACGCGACAAGCTCGTTTGATCGATGAAGCGAAATTCAAAAATAGACAATTATTACGATCCGTCGCTCTTGTATAATAACGAATAACACTTTGTGGAAAATGAAGTTTGGTCCGAGGAATGGGTAAACAGCCCCCCCAAGAGTTGGCATCATCATCTGATGGCTCGCGAACAATTGACAAATGCCAAGCGGTACAACTACTACTGCGCGCGATGACGCTCCAGCGTCATTAATTACACGCGCTCCTCTCGGAAACACGAGCCTCTCCTCGTGCGCATCTCATCTCGCTCTCTCTCTCTCTCTCGCGATTCAAATATATACTTGTATTATACGCAGTGCGGTCGCCACGAGGATCACGATCTTCTCTCCCCGACAAAAGCAGCTACCTCCACGAATACCTCGAGACGTCCCTTTATCACTTTCTCCCTCGTCGCTGCTGCTGCTGCTGCTGCTGCTGCTGCTGTTGCTGCGCTTCTTTTTTTTTTGTATATTCATAAAACAAGAGACATAACGCGCGCACATGAACTCACATACACAGTCCTTCTAGCGAAATGTTATGTTTCATTGTTGAGTTAATATAATACCATTATTATGAGTGGCCCAGTATAAACTGTAAAAGTCAAAACGTTAACCATGTGGCAAAGACATTGGGATAAATACGCCGCGGCGGTGACGATGCTGCTCTGGCGGATTTTTGCTGCTCGTCCGCATATTATAATAATGTTTGAGAGAGTACGAACGGCTGAACTGATCCTAAGAACAATCATCTCGTGTGTTTGTAGCTCGCTATAATACATCGTGTACATTATGCATATAGTTGGGCTTTGACATTGTGTACTGACTCGTGATCGTTTGATGGGTATATTCAAAGAGATACTGTCCGTATGACCGAGATTCGACGGTGTGCTCCCTTTACTTTCGATATATAAAAACTCGAGATACATAACTTATGGGTCGAATTGTCTTGAAAACTAGCCATGCTCGAAATCGAAAATTTTATTTCAAAACGAGTCCGCGTGACTGCTTGTATCCCCTCGTAACGATTTACTATATGTAAGAAATAGCGAAAGGTCCCCTGAAAACGCGCAATTAATTAAGTACCCCGGGTATGTATTCATTGTCAAGGCTAATGTAGAAAATGATAAACGAGCGTTTGTCGTATTCTAGACTGCTCCACGCCACGGTACAAGTTGAGCGAAGAGACTTGTGCATTATATACTGTATACAGCAGTAGCAGCAGCAGGAGCAACTAGCATAATAATGCAACAATCCAGTGCACACATATACACATTGTATACTCGTACATGTAAATACATTATATATACTACATACGAAAATTTCTCCATCTCGTCTCTCTCTCTCTCTCTCTCTCTCTCTCGTATATCGTGAGGCGCGACTGGAATATAAGGAAATATCGCATCCGAAGGATCTCCATCGTCTCTCTCGTCCCCCCGCATGTATTTGATTTATCGAAACTCGATTTATTGCGGAGCGCGACTCAATTTTTCTGAGCTGCGCCTCCTGTATGTATATAAGTATCTCGAAGTGGACTGTGCCTACGTCATCTAATGGTATCGCCCTTTTTTTTATCAAGACATACAAGACATCCACCAACGAGTCTCTCGCTCTTTACGATTCATTTACATCTCTCGGATCCGTTTGCTCGATTGGATCCGTCGCCTTGCGTCGATGAATCAGGCACGGAAAATGAGGGTAAACTTATCAGAGAAAGAGAGAGAGAGAGAGAGAGAGAGAGAGAGAGAGAGAGAGAGAGAGAGAGAACGACA